TTCTTATTCTTCATAAGTGATATTCTTATATACCTTATAGATCAAAAGGAATCAACTGAAAAACTACAATTAACATGCTAACTTGACAAGATAACAGATATTTATTTTTAAATTTTTGATTTTTTTTTCAATTATAGTTGACATATAATATTATATTAGTTTCAGGTGTACAACATAGTGGTTAGACATTTATTTATATAACTTATGACCACTGATCATCCCCATAAAACCAGTACCCATTTGACACCATATATAGTTTTTACAATACTACTAACTATATTCCCCCATGCTATACTCAACAACTCTATTACTATTTTGTAAGTACCAATTTGAACTTCTTAATCCCCTCATCCTTCACCCATCCCCCTACTCCCCCAATTGACAACCATCAAAATGTTCTCTGTATCTATGAGCTTGTTTCTGTTGTTTGTTTGTTTATCCTGCTCTCTAGATTCTACATATGACATTTGTCGTTCTCTGAGTTATTCCACTCAGCACAATACCCTCTAGGTCCATCTATGTTGTTGCAGATGGCAAGATTTCATTCTTTTCTATGGTTGAGTAATATTCCATTGCAAGTGATCTGCAGATGGCTGCCATGTGTGTTGGGGTTGGAGGTGCCTGGGAGAGGATAAGCTGTCAATTGAGGCTGGCTGCTGCTAATGCCAGGCTTGTGGCTGCTTAGCAAGAGGTATGGGGCACTCCAAGGCCATATTCTGCTTGTTTGGGGTTTTTGAGTCCTTACAAATTTTAGGAAAGTCTGCAGCATGAGCCAAGGCAGGCTATTTGTATGGAAAAGCCACTAGAAGCAGCTTGGGTGGGCCAGCAGGTTCAGTTGGGCAGGGTCTCAGGGAATGACCAGAGCAGAGCAAAGAGTGTTAGTAAGGTTGATATCGAATCAGATATGATGCCCACCTGCATCTATACCCTGAGAAAGGAGTGGGTTCAACAAAGAACATGGATTCTACCTGTACTTTCGCCTGAGAGAAAGCACTCCCTCCAGCCCTTGCCCTGAAACCAGACAATTGTTACTCCTTGTATGTCCCTGGCACCTTTCAAGCTGCTGCCCCAATTCTGGAGCTCAGAGCAAGTGAGTCTGTCAGTGAGTAAGTCTGTGTGTGGGGCCTTTAAGAGGATCATCTCATACTCCAGCCACACTCTGTCTCACTCAGCCACAATCTCCACTGGTTTTCACAGCCAGAAGTTGGGCAACTTCTTTTCCCAACACTGGAACCCTGTGCTGTGAAGCCTGGAGTGGAGCTAGAACCACTTGCTCCCCAGTAGAGACCTTCACAGCCAAGTTATCCTTTGCAATTTTTAACTGCTATACATGAGTGTGGGACCAGCCCATTCTGTGTCTCTGCCCCTCCTATCAGTCTCAAGGTGGTTTCTCCTGTATATCTTTAGTTATGGGACTTCTGGTCAGCTAGATTTCAGGCGATTCTCAATGACCGTTGTTCTGTAGTTTAATTGTAATTTCGATGTGGTCATGAGAGGAGGCGAACACAGCATTTTCCTGCTTTGCCACCTTGACTGGAACTTTCCTTTGTTGCAATTTAATCTTTTTTATTGTAACTTTTGTGAAAATGAACAGATTATTTAAAAAACTTTTATCACATGTATTCCTAAAATTTGATGTCGAATGTATATAACTTCTTTGAACCTCATTTCCCAGACCGTCTCTCTCTCTCTCTCTCTCTCTCTCTCTCGATTTAATTCAATCATGCTTAGGAAATACCTGCTGTATACACTGCATGATTTTATATTTATTGAGATTTGTTTTATGGCTTAGCACATGGCCTCCTTTGTTTAATGTTATGTATACTTTTGAAAAGAACATATATTCTTCTGTTAGTGGTGAAGTGTTTCATAAATGTAAATAAGGTCCAGTTAGCTGTTAGTGTTGTTTAAGTATTTTTCTACTGCTTTTTTGTCTACTTTCATCAATTTTGAGAGAACAGTGTTGAAATCTTGAAATCATTGTAGATTCATCTAATTTTCCTCCTAGTACTGTCAGGTATTGCTTCCTTTATTTTCAAGCCTGAAGTATAATGAGTTTGTTGTTTCCAGCTGCATATATCCTCTCAGCATGATATCATCAACATAGTGAGGCACCATGAAGTCCATAATGGCTGTTGCTCCATGGATCAGGGAACCAACATGAAGATTGTTCCAGTTATTGAGTACACATGATCCATATATCCAGAATTGGGGAAAGTGACTACAGATTGGATTTTCAGACTCTGTCAGTCCCCGTAAGATAAAAGTTCTGGAGGCTAGGGAGTCCAAGATCAAGAAACAAGCATTGTTTCTGATAAAGGCTGTCTTTCTGGTTCAGAGATGGAGCCTTCTCATTGTTGTCCTTATATGGTAGAAAAGCAAGACATAGTCCCTGCCCTCTTGGAAGATAAAACATAGCAGAACAGACAGGAGAACAAAAAAATTGCCATATATTTTGAGATATGCTACAATAGGATAAATTAATGTTGCTACGGTATCATTTAGAGGACCAAGGAAAGTTCTGTAAGAAGTGACTTCTAAGTAGACATCTAAGGCACAAGGAGCCTAGAGATAGTCAAGTAAAGAAGGGCAAACAGTTGGGAGAAAACCTTTCAGACAGTACTGGTATATTTGGGTTACTGAGAGGGGTTTATTCCTGGGAAAGAGAGTTATATGAGGATCAGGAAAGCATTGAGGGCAGTTATCACCAACCCAGCAACGATTGTCTCCATCTGGTAGCCAACAGAGCCCTAATCCCATTCACATATTCACCCCTCACTCTTGTGGCTCAGGAGATGCTTCCAGCCCCAGACCAGGAGGTACATCCTGATTAAGCCATGCCAATCATGCTAACTCTTTCAATTTTCTCATTCTTAGATGATGAGCATGAGAGTAGGTTGCTAGGGTTTCCCAGAAACATTTTACCTTGTTAAGAAAATCATAAGAGGAACTGAAGTCTCTCTTCTATCTGGACATTATCAAGTTGGAATTTGACACTGGGAGCTATCAGTGTAGCCACTTTGCTACCAAATTGAGAATGAAACATTACAGTGAGTAGAGTTGAGCCAAGATCATGACAAAGAAGTGAAGCAAGAGTCTCAATGTGCTGTGACTAGAGCCCCTTCTACATCTTTGTTTTTACTTGTGAGATAATCTTTTTTCTCAGTCTTTAGCACAGTCTTAGGGAAGGTATTCTTTATTATTATTATTTTTATTTTTATTTATTTATTTATTTATTTATTTATTTATTTATTTATTTATTTATATGCCTACAGCACCTGATCTCCCTAGGTGGTCTCCCATCCAAGTACTAACCAGGCCTGACCCTGCTTAGCTTCCAAGATCAGACATTGGGCTTTTTCAGCGTGGCATGACCGTAGGGGAAGGTATTATTTTATTTGCTGTGGAAAACATAATATAAAAAACATGCTGAAGCCAGATACAGAAAGGATATCCTGAAGGGAGAAAAGCCACGTGGGAAATTTCTGTCCTCTAACTTCTGAAGGGTTTACAAGAAATGATATATTCATCTTTTCTTTTTTTTTTTTTTTTACAAAATTATTTTGGCTATGAAGTGAAGAACAGCATGTAGGAGGACAAGTTCAATGTCAAGATAACAAATAAGAAGATGCTGCAGTATCAAATGTGAGATGATAGTCTGTATAAGGGCAGTGGTGGAATGGGATGCCAAGGTGTAGAAAGAGGTAGATATGTATTTGGCTCAGCTAGAAAGGCAATTTTGCATCCTACTACATGTACTGTACTGTGTTAGAGGTAGAAGATACAAAGAATAAGGTAGTCTTTGTCTTCAAAGAGCTCACAGTTTAGTAGTGGAGAAAGATATACATATAGCAGTTGGCCAGTATAATGTGGTCAGTGCATTTCTGAGGCTGATGCACAGGGAGCTATGAGAAGATTTATTATTTCCCTGGGGAACAGAGCAGAGAGGAAAGATTTCTAGGAAAAGACACAAAATATTCAGTATCTATACTTCTTGGCCTTCCACCTACTCCTTAATTTATTGCAATCTGACTTCAGCTCTACTCCATTAAAACTTCCAAGTCTTCACAGGTGGTTTTTCATCAGACTTGAACATGACCTCCTTCAGCTTAATTAAATTTTCTTACCAGTTCTGTGTGGGCTTAAAATTTACTTCTGTAAAAAACTGTTCCTAACCATGTAGACTGGGTTAATCATTTCTTCCATGTGTTCCTATGGTATGCTCTATGACTTCTATCACTTGGCATACATTTTAAAAATCAATTCATTATCTCTCTGTATCCTGTTGACTCCCAAAGGGCTAACACCATTTTAGTTACATTCACCATTGAATTTATTTCTCTATCAAGTACAGGGTAGTTTAAATGTATCGGGTAAGCATTCATGGAACAATAAATGAGTAAATGAGTGGAAGAATGACTCTGTGATCATAGAAGTATCAAGTTCAAAGCAGAGAGTAGGAAGAGATAAGGATGCAGGTATAGCAGAGGTCAGTTCTTGGAGTGACTTGGGTATCTTTTTGTTGAGGTGGGACACTACTGACTGAAAAATTGGACTCAAGAGTTATCATTAATGCCTCATATGTGCTGGGCTACAAAACAGAAAAGATGAAACATAAAAGGCTTTTAAATATCATTTTTACTGCCCTGACTGACTCTATATTTATTATGCACATGACACTACTCAAGAATATAGGTCAGAGGAATGGAAAACTTTGCTTGCAAAGGGGGTGCTAGTCTTTAAGAGAACAGACATGAAATTGAAGAGCTGGAGTGAACACAAAGTTTATCTAAATCAATGTCTCCAAGATGGATAACAGCTTAAAAGAAGACCTGAGGAAATATAGAAAATTTCTGATTCCTAATTCCAGTCCCAGAAAACTAATTCACTCGACATAGGTGAACCCTAAGAATCTATTAAAAGCTCTTCAGGCATCTCTGCCGTGCAAAGACAATGTCTCATCCACTTCAATTCTTTCATTTACACATAAGACAACTGACCTCAGGAGAGACTTGTGGGCATTGCACAGTCCATCAGTGGCAGAGGTAGAATAACAATTCTTGATCTTGAGGCCAGAGTTCACAGCATTAGTTCTAAAGAAGAATAAAAATTGGCCAGAATTTAGAAGAATAAAATTCAAAAAGGATAATGTATCTTAATTCATTTATAATAATACACTTTTGAGATTAAATGTAGACACTATTTCTCTCCACCTGAGCACTGAGGCACAAGAGTGAGATGGGACCACATTGCACACTATAGACACTTTGTTTAGTGAACTAAAATCACCATAAACCTCACAGATTTTCTAGACCTGTGATGACAGTGGATCTGCAGATGGCAGGGTGTTTTACACTGAGGGGTGAGTTATTAATAGCATTAATCATGAGCAGCTTGTAGAGATAATAAACATCTGTTCTTCATAATTCCTAAGTATAGAAGAAAAAAGATGGACCAACATTATAGTGTTATAGGCTTGAGCCAGGTATGCATTAACTCTTTTCATTATTAAATGTTAGAGTCATCAAAGGAGATTGCTTAATCACCCTTTTTGGTGGAGTCTTTAGTTTAAATCCAAGAGGCATTAGATCTATTCATTGCAAATGGCAGAGAATGATACGAGCTGATGTTTCTTTAGAGGTAGTAAGACCTCTAGACTTTTAAGTGTTTCCTCAGCGGAATATCCTAGACAATCCCCAACAGCATTGGTATATGTTGGCATAGATGGTATTTGAAAGGTTTGGTGATAAATCACTATTCCTTTCATTTTACCTGGGAATATTAGCAATTACTACATATGCTTGCACAGAGAAACAATGGTTAATATCTTCTTTTAATCTCTCAAGACAAGAACAAAACACTACATAGCTATGTAAAATGACTGACTCACTACAGGTGAGAGACAGGATGCTACTTTTTTGATGGCAACATAAGTCATTGTACTAAGGAGGCTTTTCTGAATTATATTTTAGCTTCATTTTCTACCTTTCTCCTTTTCTGATCATTCTTTCACAGCTCATTCACCCAGTAAAGGAGAAAATGCAAGCATGTTTTTATGTTTGCAGCAGTTCTATGAAAGTCTCTTTAAACATATAAATATATATGTGGTCTATATGCATTTTTGAAAATACACTAATTTACCACACTTTGTATATACTGTTCCTTTCAGCAAAATAGAAATACATTTTCCCTGCAGTATTAGAATCTACACAGGTCTGATTGGACATCACTTAAGTCTGTGACAGGAAGACAGACAGCTTGTGCCTAATGAATGATACCGATGAAAAGGACAAGGGTCACTAAACTTCAAATGTCATCAAACAGGATGACTTTGAAATGGTCCTGCTATAATATAGAATGCTGCCAGAGCCACTTAGCCCTTAAAATACATTATCTATGTCAATAACTCCCAAACTGATCTATTCTATTAATCTGTAATGTAAGAAAAGGGAATAGGATGATTTCATTTTTAAGGTAAGAATTGTAATTATACTACATCATAGAATCTTTATGAAAATTAAATAACCTAATGGGTAAGTCATATGCTTTTAATAATATCATTAACAATATAAATATTTTGGTTAATAGGGAGTCATAACACATAGATTATTAATTTTTAATGAATTTTTAATTTTTAATAAGTATAAAAATATCAACTAAAATCATATTTACTACAACATTAATTAATTTATAACCATTCAAAAAGATTTCCAGGAAAATTTTCCCCAGTAACTCAGCATTATTAAAATGAACCAATCAGGACATGGTTCCATAGTGTAGCGGTTAGAATGTCTGCTTTACATGCAGAAAGTCCTGAGTTCACGCCCCAGTGGACCCACTATCCATGGTTTATGGCTATGCCACTCTGAATAAGCCCAATGTCTGATCACGGAAGCTAAGCAGGGTTGGGCCTGGTTAGTACTTGGATGGGAGACCACCTAGGAAGACCAAGTGCTGTAGGCATAAATAATAAAAAAATAAAATGAGCCAATCATATTTAACGTAAGTGAAGAAAAACAAGTTATAAAAAATCTATGGATAATTGGCAAATAAATTATATTTATGTCATCTTAGAAGGTACTTTTCTTTGTGTTAAAGCAAATGATAACATTTATATTTTCATCTGTTTGCTTATGTACTGAGAAAACATTTTTGGGGCACTAAGTACAAGTCACTAAACTAGATTTTTGAGGATATAAAAATTAATAAGACACAGTCTCTGCCCTGCCTGGAAGCAGATTTCACAGTAAACAGGAGCCAAAACAGTAACATTGGTCCTGAGGGATTTCATCTTTACACTTAGGGCAACAACAGAACTACCGAAGGGCTTGGAGGAGTGAAGTGATACAATCAGCTTTGCATTTAGATTGGTACGGAAAATGATTGGAGAGAACCAGCTGGAAGGCCATTGCAGTAATTCAGGCAAGAAATGATGACAGGCACAGCTCTGATCTAACGGAGTTAGTGGGAAGAATGGAAAGAAGTAGACGATTTGGAGAGACATTAGGAGTATAAAATCCACTAGTTTGAAGGTTAATGAAGGGAAGGTTAATCCTCACTTTAAATTAGGTCTCTGAAGAGATGATAGCACCACTCACAGAGATGTGGAACACAGGAAGGATAGTAGGTTTAATCGTGAGGAAATGATGAGATACATCTGGGGCTTTTTACCCTGGAAATGTCAATGGAAAATTCCAATAGAAGTGGCTCCCCTTGAAGCTCAGGGGAGATTTTTAGTGGGAGCTGTATAGATATAGTCATTAGCAGTGTGTAACAGCTAAGGAAAACCATGGGGGATTCCCCAACCCCACCCCACTCTACCCCACCCATCCCAGTGAATATTTTGAGAGTAATGTGAAAAGCCTAGGTCTCACAAGACTTAGGTAGTGAAAATTCTGTCAAGAAGATTGAAAATTAGCCAGATTAGTAGGAGGAAAATTAGAGTAGTGAGTGGTATCAGTGTCCTGGAAACCAAAGGTAAAGAAAGAGAACATAGAGGAGGACATCAGTTGATTCCTCCTCTATGTCTCAAGGTCTTCTGGAACCTTGGCCAAAAACGGTTCCACGGAGTCCAGAAGCCCCTGAATGAGGGGTAGTTGCCACAGAAGATGAGAAGGAGGAGACATTAAGTGAATACGATGCCTCCAAGAAGCCCAGCCATAAAGGCTGTGAAAGAGTATGAAAATGGATGAGACAAAAGAGTGCTCTGATTTTTGTTTGAAGACAGGAATGTTTAAAGAATCAACAGAAAGAGAAATATCAGAGACTCAAAAGAAAGCGAGAGATAGAGATCGGAAATGGAACACCAGATTACTGATACATCAGAATTTACAGATACAGGTTAAGAAGGCAGGGTTTTTCTTTATTTTATTTTACTTTTTTACCTGGAAAAACATTCAGCATAAAACTTCAAGTATGACTCTGACCTCACTCACATAGTGGCCCATTTTTCCTATTTATTTAACAAGAATTTGTTGAAGATCTATGTCCAAACACTGTGCTACATGCACAGAGGATAGAGTGGTAACTCAAACAAGGTCCTTGCCCACAAGGAACTCATTGCTTTAGAGGTGGGATGGAGGTAGAGGTGCATACATACCTTTCTAATCCCAAGTAAACCTGTGATAATCTTTGCATTGATTACAGCATGCAATGAGTACAGAAAAGCCATATGTACCATTCTATCTCTTAGACATGAAAACCAATATTAAATTAGTGCACCTACTGTAATATAATTGCAAACTACAATTTCACAAATGTTGACCACTAGATGGCTAAATTAGTCATTAATCTAGCCAGGGGACTGGAATTAATTAACCTTAGCAGTGAATTACATTTTGACCTTGGTCTAATCAGGCCAATTTTCCACTCTGGAGAACACGATTAATTATCTGGTTCATTTTAGGAAAGAACCCCAACAAAACAAAATCTACAAAGGTTTTACCTTAATTATTAGGATTACAGTGCAATTCCTGATAGAGTGTGTTTTTCCTCTGATAGGAAAATACATCTTCAAGAATGACTTGTTCAAGGGAGAAGATATATTTTAATCAAGTACTCATATTAAAAAAAAAAAAAAGA